TGCTTGCAGAGACACTCCCCCTCCCATTTAGCACTGATGATGTTCCCTAGCTGGGTCATGAAACGTCTGCAAGAAAACCACCCAGCTCAGAGAGCACCAAGGACCCCACAGTCTTTCTTTCTTTCTTTCTTTCTTTCTTTCTTTCTTTCTTTCTTTCTTTCTTTCTTTCTTTCTTTCTTTTCTTCTTTCTTTCTTTCCCTTCCTTCCTTCCTTCCTCCTCCTTCTCCCTTCTAGCACTGATGATGTTACTTAGTTGGGTCATGAAACGTCTGCAAGAAAACCACCCAGCTCAGAGAGCACCAAGGACCCGACAGTCCTCCTCCTCCTCTTCTTCCTCCTCCTCTTCTTCCTCCTCCTCCTCCCTTCTAACACTGATGGTGTTCCCTAGTTGGGTCATGAAACGTCTGCAAGAAAACCACCCAGCTCTCCACAGTCCTTCCTTCTCCTTCTCCTCTTCCTCCTTCTCCCTTCTAGCACTGATGACGTCACCTAGTTGGGTCATGAAACGTCTGCAAGAAAACCGCCCAGCTCAGAGGGCACCAGGGACCCCCACAGTCCTTCCTTCTTCTTCTCCTCCTCCTCCTCCTCCTCCTCCTCCTCCTCCCTTCTAGCACTGATGAGGTTCCCTAGTTGGGTCATGAAATGTCTGCAAGAAGGACCCCACAGTCTTTCCTTCCTTCCTTCCTTCCTTCCTTCCTTCCTTCCTTCCTTCTTCCTTCCTTCCTCCCTCCCTCCCTCCCTCCCTCCCTCCCTCCCTCCTCCCTTCTAGCACTGATGAGGTTCCCTAGTTGGGTCATGAAACGTCTGCAAGGAAACCCCCCAGCTCCCTGAGAGCCCCCAGGGCCCCTCGTTTCCACCCTGAGCCACAGAGCTTCTCCTTGACTGGAAGGCGGGAGGAGCTGCCTTACGTTGTAGGAGCGAGGGTGCCTCTGTTTCCACTGTACCAGGAGCAGCTGGGCGACGACCAACGTGGCAATCAAGATGAGGACCATCTCGGCGTGCATGGCCTCGTGGCCCCGGTGCTTGGCGTGCATCCGGGCATGCTCGACCCTGCAAGGAGAGCCGGACAGGTCAGCCTCTTGCACAACTGGCCCTGGCAGCTGTTCAGATACACTGTTTAACAGGTTGATTATATTGCCCACCACCCAGAGTCCCTCTCTGAGGGAGAAGGGCGGTTGAGAGAGAGAGAGAGTGAGAGAGAGAGAGAGAAGGAGAAAAAGAGAGACAGAGAAAGAGAAAGAGAGAAAAAAGAAAGGACGAAAGAAAGAAAAAGAAAAGAAGGAAGAGAAAGAAAGAAACAAAGAGAAAGAAGGAAGGAAGGAAGAAAAAAAGAAAAAAAGAAAAAAGGAAAAAAAAAA